TGCCCTTAGCTGTGTACATTTATCCACAGCCCATAAACAGGGTCACAGAATCACAGACTGGTTTGGGTTGGAAGGGACCTAAAAGTTCATCTTGTTCCACCCCCTGCCATGGGCACGGACACCTCCCACTATCCCAGGTTGCTCCAAGCCCTGTCCAACCTGGCCTTGGACACTTCCAGGGATGGGGCAACCTGTGCCAGGGCCTCATCACTCTCACAGCCAAGAATTCCTTCCCAATAACCCTACCCTCTGCAGTGAGAAGCCATTCCCCCTTGTCCTGTCACTCCAGGCCCCTGTAAATATTCCCTCCCCATCTTTCTTGCAGGCTTAGGTCTCCCTAAGCCTTCTCTTCTCCAGGCTGAACAATCCCAATTCTCCCAGCCTTTCCTCACAGCAGAGCTCCTCCATCCCTCTGATCAACTTGGTGCCTCCTCTGGACACATTCCAACAGCTCCATGTCCTGTTTCAGCCACGTCCCTGCAAAGCCCCATCCCCACAATGTGCAGTCACTGAGCCCAATTTAACAACAGATAACTGTCCAGTTCCCTGGGAAAGCAAGGATACTGTCTTCTTTGCTCTTCTCTGGTGTGCTGTCCATCCCAGGTAAGGCAGCAGCCACACGGCGGAAAAGCTGGAAAGCAGGAAGAGGAAAGCTCAGGGCTTTGTCAGAGAAAATGTCTGTTAAAACACTGTTTTACAGCAGAACTCTGAGCTGTACCAAGTTGTTATGTGGGTACTTTAGCAAGCAAAGCAGTGATCAACAATGCCACGAGAATGTTACCTAGGAAATTTAACAGGTTTTATTAAAGAAGTTATTCAATGCCTACAAAACAGGCAGTTTTATTTTATCTGTTTTGCTTGAACAGAACACGGAATTAATTAGTAACAGTTCTTCCAGGGATTCATGGAACAACTCCATCCTGCACTCACTAACCATGTCCCAGCCTCTGCTTCTGCACCCAGTGATGTTCCAGGGCACATTTGGGGATTTGTGATAAGTCACCTCACAAGGTTTAAGGAGTTTTACAGCCCATCCCTTCAGTTCAGTCCTGCTGCCAAACAGCCTTTCCTGGGCAGAACAGCTGGTTCAAGTGAGCTGCATTCAAGCTATTAAGGATGTGCTGGAGCTGGGAAGGACTATTATATCCCCATAAAACCCAGAAAATGGTTTTGCATAATTTCTGAACTCAATGCCTGGAGCTCCTCCTCCTGCCATTACCCGGCCCAGGCACTGCCAGGCTGCTGAGCTGCTGCACAAAGAACCAGAGGAATCATCTGCTAACGACCATTTTCCTCACAGCAGCCTGGCAGGGGCTTCTCATCCACCCCCAAAGTGTGTTCCTTGGAAAATCAAGGTCCCAGCAAGGTGCTGCAGTTGCATCCTCCTAATCACAGAAGCTCTCACTGCAAACACCCACTGGGCAAATAAAGCAACAAGAGTTAAACCAAAGTGGATTCAATCCACAAAAGACAAAAAAAACCCCAAGCCCGAGGTCTCACTGTGGGTTCTCCCAACCTGCTGCTGTGCAGCAATCTGGGGAGGGGGTTTTCCAGCTGACACAGCTCCCTGCAGGCCCCTGGAGCTCCCAGCTCCTCACTCCAAGCTCTGTCACATTCAGAACAACCTCTGAACTAGTGGAGGGTGGCATCACAAACTTACAGCAAGAGGCAATGGGCACAAACAGAAATATGAGAAATTCTGCTTAAATAAAATATGTGAAGTTGTTTGGTTGTTTTTTTTCTGTATGGCTCATCAAACACTGGCAGGCTGGCTGGAGAGACAGTGTCTGTCCTTTGAGATTCCAAACTCAGCTGGAGCCAGCTCTGGGAAGCCTGCTCTGAGCCTAAGGGCTGGAAAAGATGATTTCCAGAGATCCCTTCCAACCTCAGCTATTCTAAGATATTCCAGGATTCTCTGTGGCTTGTTAACAGAAGGAAGAACTTCCAGTGATGTCAACAGTGATTTCAGCAAACTGCACTAATTGGTAACAAAACCAAACAAATTCCATCTGACTGGCTGCACAAAACAGGGATTTTCCCCCTTCCTCAGCACATTCTGGGGTTGGCTCTCCTTTCTTCCAAGGTTTTCTTAGCTTGGACAGGAAATCACTGACTCAACAGGAAAGGAGCTCCCACTACTACTACAGAGCTGATGGTGATCAAGAAACATCTCAGGGGGTTGGCATCAAACACAAGCAAATCCCTGCTGGATCATGAACCCCAAGCAGGGGCCAACACACCCGGAGCAGGGACAGATTCCTGATTTTAGAACAGAACACGGATGTACCTGTTTCACATTGTATCCAGTCTTTGCACTGGTCTCAATAAACATCACATTCAGCTCTTTGGCTCTCTGTTCACCTTCTTCTGTAGTGATTTGCCTGGAGGAAGGTGCCAACAGGAGCAGAAAGACAGAAAGGAACAGAAGGGAGAGTTAGAGACGTCTGTGACTGAGCTGGTGGTCAGTGCTCACCCACCTCCCAGGAGGCACAGCCCACCAAGGGACACCTCAGGGCCCTCGAGGATGCACAACCCCCAGCTGGGAATGAAACCACCCCAGGGAACACCTGGAGTGGTGACAATCAGTGAGAGATGATCAGCACAGGGTGGAGTTTGTGCAGCATATCTGAGCCTCTTTCACAGCACCCTGCAGGGAAGGAAGAACCCCACACACTGCACCTGAGACAGAGAGCTCCCCAAAGCCAACAGAGGTGACACAAAGATTCCAGAAAGGCTCCAGCAGCAAGGACAGCCTGGGAGCAAGGACCTGGAATTGCATCTCTGAGCACCACCCTGGACATACCTGTCTCACATTATATCCTGCCTTAGCACCAGTTTCAATTACATCATATTCAGTTCTGGGGCTTTTCTCTCACCCTCCTCTATAGAAACCTGTCTACAGCAAGGAGAACAAATCACAGAGCAGAGAAAACAAACCAGAGAAAAAGAGTCCAAAAATGAGAAAAGGAAAACTGCAGGGGAAAAAAAAAACCAGCCAAAACTGAAGCAACAGTGACTGGAATGAAAAACTTCACAGGCTTCACTGAACAAGAACAGGGCTATTTTTAGTCCAGCTTTTTGGCCTCAGAACTAAACTTGGTTTTTATCAGAGGATGAATGGCTTCCCATACTCTGTATTCTACCTCAAAAAATGTCACCTGTGGCTTTGCCCAGCCTTAACAGGCACAGCATTTCAGCCTCACACAAACCCAACTTCCTTTGAAAAGGAACAAGAAGAAACTGTGCCATGAACTCACAGCTGCACGTGCACAGAGAGTTGGGCAAACTGGATTATTGAAAATGAGAGTTCCTTGCCTTTGCAAAGCAGCTTTTTGGCTTTATCTCAGCATGACATACAAAATCAGACAAAATACACTATTGAGAAACAAAGTGTAGAGCTACTTCATTTCAGTGAAAGGAATTTTTTTAGGTGGGTTTATTTTAACCAAAACTATTTGCAGAAGAGCAAAAGGGAATAACTTCTGCTGCAATCAGAAACCTGAATTTCACAACAAGGAATTTATGTCCCGTTTCAAATCGACAATTTTTAAGATTGTTTCAAACTAATTTTTAAAGCCAGGCTGGGCAGCCAGTCCTGGCTTTTCCTGGCCAGAGCAGCAGGGCCCAGCTCTCCCCGTTACCTCTTGTCTGCCAGGTCGGTTTTGTTCCCCACCAACATGATGATGACGTCGCTCCCTCGCTCTGTCCGCACATCATCGATCCACTTGGAGGTTTGCTGGAAAGAATTCAAGTCTGTGGGGAAGAACAAATGGGAGCGCTGAGCATAAAACTTCTTTTCAGAGAGGGGCAACGCTTTGCTTGTGCTCAGGTGCTTCACCACATAACCCATAAATTGTTGGAAAAACGGGGGGGGGGGAGACACTTCCAATTTTCACCGTGTTTGAGCAGAACCCGTGGCTGTCAGTGGTCAGTGGGGGGCAGGAGGGGTATTTTGAGGCATGAGACCCCGTGAGTACTCACTTGTGATGTCGTAGACCACGACGGCGATGGTGGAGTCGCGGATGTAGCTGGGGATGAGGCTGCGGAACCGCTCCTGCCCCGCCGTGTCCCAGAGCTGCAGCCGCACCTGCTGGGACAGCCCGGGACAGGGGCAGGGGGGAGAACACAGACAGAACACTGCCCTTTAGACAGGGGGCACTGCCATAGCCCCCTGCAGCAGCTCTGAGAGCTGAGCCACCCGTGACACTGCCCCCAGTGTCCCACCACCACACCAGAGGCTTCCCGACTCTGTGGATAATGTGCTTTAACACCTCCTTTGCTTGCCTACAAAACCTGCCATTCCCAAACTGCTCCAGGATACGGCCACCACCTCCTCACTGGGGTGTGTGAGGATGTTTTGGTTTGAAGTGCTGGAACTGCCTGGTTTACTTCATGTTCCCTTTGCCAACTGACACCAACAATTACAGTAAAAAACTTTTTTTAAAAAAGTAAATAATAATATTTAAATAATTTAAATAATATATTAAATATAATAATAAATATTTATAATTATATATAATAAATAATATGGTATATTATATATAATAATATATAATATAATAATATATTATTATATATTAATATATAATATACGATATATTATATAATATATATTACTATATACTATTAATGTATTATTTTATTCTAATATTCTAATATAATTATATATTATTATATAATATGTAATTATATTAGAACATTAGAATAAAATAATAATATACTAATAGTATATAATAATATTATTATTAAACAATAATGATGATTATATGATATAATTGTATAATAACAATTATATTATATTATAGATATTAATATAACTATAAACAATAATAATATAAAATAAAAATAATATTAAATTATAATATAATCTAAAAATAATAATAAAATAAAAATCAGGTCTCCCTGGTCTACCCAGGATTCTGGATCTCCACAGGACTCCAAGCCCAGAGCAACTCTGAGCAAAGCTTTTGGGGCAATTCCCACACAACAGACATGCAATTCCCTCAGCCCGGACACCACGTGAGGGAAAGAGCATCCAATCTCCAGCACCAGCACCCAGATGATGGCAATGGGGATTTTTATGAGAGATTAAAGCAATCAATAAATTAAGTTCCAGCAGAAACGGAAGCAAATGTTACACACTGCGGGCTCCAGGTGATGGGAAAGGCATTGGGGTCACCCTTCCAGAGCAGCACAGGGGTCAGAAAAGGCACAAATGCTGTGAGAGGCACAGTTTGAGCCCCAAACACACACTGAGCTATTAGGGATGGCAGCTCCAAGGCCTGGGACCTGCCCATCTGAACCACAACTGCCTAAAACATGCCCAATCCCCCAGTGAACCAAAGCTTTTACACTGGGAGTGACACCTTTGCCTTCCAGTTCTCACCCCACAGGGCTGTGCACTGCCAGAAAACAGGATCGCTTGGCATTCCCAAAGGCTTTTATGGGGGCAGACAGTGGTTCCCAGCTCCCTGACAGGAGCCTGGTCCCAGCACCGGGGCAGAGCAGTGGTTAATAAGGCAGCAAAAAGCAGCTTCACAAGGACCAGTAATTGCTTGTTTAGAAGAGAAATAGAAGCTGATTGAGCTGCAAAGCGGCTGGTTACAGGCAGATTCAAAACAAGATCTTATCTCCATCAGGGTATGTAGATCTGATGCCCTGGGGCTTAAGGAAGATTAGGAATTACAGTTAAAGCAATTAGTTCTTGCTTCATTTGGAAGGCAGACTTGATTACAGGACCGAAAGTCAGAGGTTTTTCTCTACCCCAGGAAACTCGAAGTGACAAACTCGGAGCACCTGGGCAGTGACACACTGGAGCTGGAAGATCAGATGGATCAGCACAGCTCCTGGACTTCCCAAGCTCCCCCACACTGCCCAGGCAGTTATACTGGAATATTCACCATGAAACTTGACCCAGATGGTGATTTAACACTCCACCCTTCAGACTCACAGGCAAAAAGGCAATAGAAGCAGCAGCACAGGCCTGGCCCAGGTAATTTGTTTAGTGCAGGTGATGCTCTTTGAAGGGAAGGCCTTCAGGACCTGTGCAGGTCCCACACAGACACTCCTGCAGTGACCTCAGTTTGCTGCAATATTTCTGTGGCTTCTCATTTCTACCAGTCAGAGTTCGTGTGCACCCCCTTTTGGAGGGGAAAATATAAATATAAAAATATAAATCCCTGTGGATTTAAGAATTAACCCTTAAAAACAATGTTCAGGAGGGGCCTGAACTGCAGGATGGACTCTCTCCAGGGCTCTCCCTGCCTGCATTTTGGGATGCCCAGCAGAGCAACAATAACTAAGTGATTTCTTCACGCCCTCAGAAGCACCTGAGCCCGTTCCTTCAGTAACACACGAAAACTTACGAGCCTCTCACTCACTAAGGGCAGTAGCAAGAAAACAATGACATTATCTGCAAAGCCCGTTGCCAAAGTCCATGGGATCAGCGATCACTGAATTACTTCTGACATGTCTGGAAGATGTTAAGAACAGCCTGGACTGGCAACATTTTTCCACCTGTGTGGATAAACAGCATCCTGCACCTGCACAGCGAGAAAAATGATGCCAAGCTGTGCATCCTGCCACGCTGCCTCACCCCAGAGGTCCCAGCACAGTTCAGTGCTCCTCAAACCCCAAAAAGGGTAGTTCTATGTTATTTTGCACCAAAACAGGAATTCTCCCAGAGAAGAATTCAGCTACAGTACTGGGAGAAAGACCATGTCATTATTTGCCCTCAGTATAGAGGACAAATCATAGCAGAAGTCTGTTATTTGTTAAGCAATTCAGCCAAGGAGTGTGGAACAAACCCCTGGTCCTCACTATAATCCAGTCTGGGACAGAATAAAGGTGGGCCAGAGGTTTTTCCACCTGTGCTGTGTTCTTTCCTTAAATTTTGCCCACATGGTGTTGGCTCACTGGTATAAATCCTGACACTGCAGATGAACAAAAAACTCCACCAGATCAATCGGAATCAATAACAAGGAGTCACAATGAAATAATCCTATTCATATTTTCCTAACTTGAACTAAAACATTCACGTCAAGAGTTACGGAGAATTTCCTTCTAAGCTTGTTTATTCTTTAGAAATTCTGGTAGTTGCATCTCTCCTCCTTTCAAAATCTGGATATGAATCTCCAGTTCTCTTTTTCAAGGAAATGGGACTCTTGAATCCTCCTAAGTCATTCCACAGCTTCTCTGTGAATGGGTGTTGTGCTGTTTTACCTACTCTGACAGTGTTCCTTTGCTTTGGCCCCTGAAGCTGGTACTTGTACAAATTATATATATATATATATATATATATATATATATATATATATACACATATCTGTATTTTCTCTAGAAAGGAAAAAAAATAATTCTGAAGTAAAAAAAAAAAAAACAAACAAAAACCAAAAACCAAAAAACCCCACACCAAACAGAAAAATAATAATAGTTTTCCAAAGATTTCCAACCACCTGCCATTGCAACCAGCCCAGACACAGCAACTCCCAATCCCTGCTCAGCCCTCAGCCAACACCCACGGTTGGTCTATTTTAGCTCTTTTTGGGTACCACCACCACCACCACCACTTCCAACACATAAAGATCCGTGTTAAAAGCAAGGTCCCTGCAGACCTCTGGCTCAATTACCTACTTGTGGTGCCAAAGACAATGAGAGCCACGGCAGAGTCACGGGTGGAGCTGGGGAGGAGGCTGAGGGACCTCTCCTGGCCGGCTGTGCCCCACAGCTGCAGCCTGATCTGGGAAATGGAGAAGTGCAGGGGGAAGGGGGAAGGGGGGAGAGAGCAGGAAAACGGAAAACAAAAACCGAAACTCAAGTGAAATAAAAATAAATAAATAAATGAAAAAAAAAATAAACTAACTGCAAAGCAAAACTAAGGCAACCAAAGGAAAGTTCAAACGGAACAGAACCGTGGAAAGAGGCAGCGACACTTCTGAGCCTCACAGGGACCTCAGCACACACACCCAGCAACATCCCACACACCAACACCATCCACCCAGCTATCCCTAAAAACCCCTTCTCACACCACCTGCTAACGAGGGAAATAGATGGAAATACTCAGCCTCCAGCTGGTGGATGTGTGACTCCCATCCCTAAGGAACACATCACCAGGGGTGGATGAACCCACAGGGAATCCAGAGGTGGTAAAACACAGGAGTGGGAAACGAGCCAGAACAGCAGCTACCCTCCAGACTGACTTATCTTGCACTTATATCCAACAGAGGACACCTTCCACTATCCCAGGTTGCTCCAAGGCCTGTCCAACCTGGCCTTGGACACTGCCAGGGATGGGGAGTCCCTTCTGCCTGTTTGTCCAGACCCTGATCAGAGCTGAGTGATGGAGCAGAGGTGTAATTCCAGGATATATTATTTGCTGTAAGGACATATCAAATACACCAAAGCCCACACCCCAGCTGGAGGCTCAGCATTCTTCATTTCCAGCCCAGAAATCAAAGCTTATTGCAAAAGGCAGCATGAGCCACATCTGAGGAACTATTTCCGTGTCTGAATCCTCCCAGCCTGTGTGTTTGTATTTGTCTCTCCTCTTATCTACATTCCACACCTCTGTTATTTAAACAGGCTCCATGGGCTCTGTGGACCACTTACATAATCAGGAAAACTAACAGTATTCCAACATTGGAATGAAAATGGTATTTTGTGGATAGCAGGGCAGCAGGTGAATGACATCCTGACCTACACAACCATGAGAAATCAACACTCCACTGCTGGAAACAGCACACAGACGTTCCACTGTGCCCTCACAGGTGTCAAGAAGCATTCCCAGGATCTTTGCCCTCTTCTGCCAGCACCACTGAAGAATGGTATCCATTAGTTCCCCCCAAACAAAGGTTAAGGAAGGTCTTTTCTCATAGTGAATCACAGGTGAGATGGCAAAGAAGCTCCCAGGGAACTCATCACACACACTGGGCTCAGATTTCCTTGGAAGCAACAGACCCAAAGCAACACACGGGACTGTCCCCTCCTCCCCCCAGCACTGTCACACTCCTCACACAGCAGTAAAACCAGCAAAAAAGGCAAACAGTAGCAAAACATGAACAAAACCACAAACACTGAAAGGCAGGGGAGGGGTGTGAGGGGTCTCTATGCAAAAAGGAATTTCATGCAGTCTAAATCCAAAACTGCTTTACTACAGTGGCTCAGAACTGTGTTACAACAGGAGCTTTCTATGAGCAGGGACAAGGTCTAATCATGAATAACTTCAAGCCCTGGAAAACCAACTCCTGTAGAACCCCCCTCACTGGCTTTTCATTGACTTCAGAAGTCAGACTTGATGATCCTGGTGGGTCCCTTCCAGCTCAGAACGTTCTGTGACACCTGAGCTCTGCTCAGCCCTGTTCCTACTGACTATCCCAGAGGCAGAGCTGCAAATTCTGGGAGCAAACTACACCTACACCAGGTTCCTCCAACAGGCAGCCCATTCATTCCCTGGGATATGGCCATTATCCCGTCCCAGTTTTCCATGGAAGATTTTGACTTCCTGCTGGAGGTCTCGGATCTGAACGGGTACCACAAAGAGGGGGTCAGTGATGGGATTCAACAAAGGCTGGTCCTCTGGGGGATTCCAGCAGCTGCTGGAGGAAGGGCCGGGGGCAGAGCCCAGCCCTGCAGCTCCCACGCCATCCCACCCACGCCTCACTTACCGTGCGGTCCTCCAGATACATTGTTTTTGACAGGAAATCAATTCCAATGGTTGCCTGGAAAGAAGGGAAGCATTAGTGACTGCAACCTGCCTGCCAGCAGCTGCAGCTCCCACCATTCCAAACTCTCAGAAACCTCCACAAACTTGAGATTAAGCTGGTGAAGTGATCTGCCTTCAATAGAGGGGATGAAAACGAAGCAATCTGGGTGTCTGCACCAGCTTCATTTCACAGCATTCCTCACACAAGAACTCCCCCTCTGAGGCTGGATTTTAGCCTGAGACATTCATGGATCTCAACAGAGATCACAGCTGAACCAGCAGCTCGTTCTGGCCTACCCCAGCTCAGTCTGGGAAAAATTACCTTATTAGAAACAACCAAAAGGTAGAACAAATGAGATATATAAATCATGGGCAACTCAAAGCTAAAAAGCCACATTTACTCAGGGTTTTCCACTCCAGAAAGTGCTTCCCTTCCAGTGACACTCAGAAGCTTAATTTCTCAGGCCGTTCTTTCTGCAAGTCTCCATCCATTCACATTCCCATTGCTACAGCAATTCCAGTAAAAAGACATTTAAAATAATGTACTAAGTTAGATGCACTCCCAGGCACTTCAACCGAGCTGCTGTCCCAGCCCTTCATAACCCCAGGAAACAGGAGACAGCTCTGATGTAGCAGATTTTAGTGTTTTAGACATAGATTATCTTTAATCTTAACACATACAGGCAGCACAGAAGGGCTCCAGCAGAACATGGACCATGGAATACTAGAAAAGACCACCACAGTCAATTTTGGTAGGGAGAACTTATTTTTGGGAGGCCTATTTTCTAGCCAGGACAAGGTTAATAAATCTTAATAAACACACAGATCTCTGCCAGCACCTTACAAAAGCCAGGGATGGAAACACCTGAAGCACAAAAGGATCCAGTTCCAGTGAATCACTTGTCCTCAACTAAAAACTACCCCAGTCTAAACCAGTAACTCTTTCTGGCTGAATTAAAAGACAACCCCTAATCTCATCTGCTTTAAAGATATCTGATATTCCCTTGAAATATTTCTAAGTGCCTTTGAAGCAATTAATTCTTCCTAAAAATCTTCAGGCCTCTTACACATCATCTCCTTTTCATCTGCAGCCTCTTCATCCCCACCCTCCTCTTTCCCTGCCAAGACTTCCCTGGCTTTTCCTATCTTTAGTCTTTTAGTTAAAAAATAGTAATAAAAAAAATGAGAGACTGAATATACCAAAGCTGACTTCTTGCAGATCCATCTATACACTCCAGACTCAACTACTCCTACTTAAATGGGAGCTCTAAAGATGCCAGAGACCAAGAATTATCACAAGATGTTCCTATCTTATTCATCCTCTGTTTCCTGAGACTCCCAAATCCATCACCAGGCATCCTGACCATCATCTTCTCCATCAGCCAGACCCATAAATCAGTGTTTCTCCCCATTTTCCTCAAGGCTTCTCACATATCCAAACAGGATCTAAACCCTCCTGCCTTTTTGTACACTGGATTTCCTGACATCATCCTGGATGCTCTGGTTTAATCATGAAGCCTCATCTCTGTTTCACGGCACATTTTAACCTTTTATATGATATTTAACTGACACCTCATGGATCAATGTGCTTGGCCCTCACAGGCATAAATTTTAACAGCAGGGAACAGATTTAACCATAAATATTTTCAAAAAATTAAGATAAAATCCTACCACATACCTGGTAAGTATTGTCAAAACTGTCATACATAAACCTGGTGATCAGGGAGGTCTTCCCAACTACAAGAGAAGAGAAAAATTACTTTCAAGCAGCAGTGGAAAAAAAATAAGCACTGCTTTGGGAGTGGCACTGATCTGAAAGCAGCTGCCAATCTCAGGCCATTCCAGCTACACCTTCCTGGGAAATAACCAGCTAGGAAAATCATTCCCAAAATGACAGAGGCAAATCAATCTCTGTAGGTCAAAAATTAATCATGGTGATGGCCTGGTCCTCCAATCAGGTGTGTTGCCATGTAGATAACAAAGAACTGGTTGTTTGCTTTAAGCAACCCACAAATCTGCTTTGTTCCTCGTGCTCTGCTACTTATGTAATCCCCAAGCCTGGGACACAAACATCAAAACAAACCAGGTGACACCCCAGTTCTGCTGCCTTTGGCTGCACGGAAAAGCAACATCCAAGACTTGCATCCTTTCTTCCTTCATAATGAGATTTTAGATACAGAGCAAACTCTGGTGGTTTGCTTCAAAACTTTACATTTACATCTCCAAATTTTATCAAGACACAAAGTGCAGAACTGATATGAAACAGGAAACAAGGAGAAGATCTCCGATTCTTGCTCAGGAAGGCAAGAAAAATTTGAAGGACATGGATGGAAAAGTGAAGAGGAATTAACTGCCTAAAAAGGCTGTGAAATTATGAACATTGGAGAGGGTTAAAAGCAGGTTAGACAAATGTCTACCAGCAGCAATGTCAATCCTGCCTTGGAAAGGCAGGGGAATTGGAGAACTTCCAGAAATTCCTGCAAGAGCTACAGTTCTGGGCTGGAGCAGTAAGAATCCCAGGATGGTCTGGGATTGAAGAGACCTCAAAGCTCACCCAGTCCCACCCCCTGCCATGGGCAGGGACACCTTCCACTGGACCAGGTTGCTCCAAGCCCCGTCCAACCCGGCCTTGGACACTCCCAGCAAAGAACACCACGATTCCAAGGAAAACACACAACTCATCCATGAATTTTGCGGGATGGGGCACAAAAGGGAGTCAACTGGAGACAAACCAAAAAACCCCGAGGCTGGAAGGGAGGCAGAGCAGGGCCGAGCACCGCCAGGGAGCCCCCGCATCCCTCGGGCCGCTCCCGCACAGGGCTGCGGGCGCACTGCGGACCGGCCCGGCGCGTGGGAACAGGGACCCGGCGGGTGGGAACGGGGCCCGGGGCCCCGGGAGGGCCCCGGCGGGAGCAAACCGAGCCCCGCGCCCCCGCCCGCCGAGGCCTCAGGCCGGGCCGCCCCTCCCTGTGCCCGGCGGCTCGGCCCTGCATCCCTCTGGCCCCGCATCCCTTGGCCCCGCATCCCCTCGGCCCCGCATCCCCCGGCCCCGCATCCCTCCGCTCCCCACCCCTCTGCCCCGCATCCCCTCGGCCCCGCATCCCCCGGCCCCAGCGCGTCCCCCGGCCCCGCCCGCCGCCCCGGGCGCTGCCCCCGGGCCGGGCCCCGCCGTCCCGGCCGCGCTCACCGCTCTGCTCGCCCAGAAACACGAGCTTGAACTTCCTGAGCGGGTTGCCGAAGTCGCCGCCGCTGCCGGGCGCGGACATGGCGGCGCGGGGGGGCCGAGCGGGAGCCGTGATGGGGACAAGGAGACAGCGCCGAGCGCTCCGGTACCACCGCCCCGCGCGTCACCTCCGCCGCGTCACCGCCGGGCCCGCCCCGGGGAGGCGCGTTGCCATGGCCACGGGGGAGGGCGGTTACCCGGGCGACGGGGCAGGGCGGTTGCCGTGGCGACGGGGAGGGCGGTTGCCGTGGTGCTGGGGAGGTTGCCATGGCGACGGGGCGGCCCTCCGGGGCGGGGATGCTGCGGCTTGGACCGGGATGGGCCCGGCTGTACCGGGGAGGGTTGTACCTGGCTGTGCTGGGGAGGGGTGCAGCTTTACTGGGATGGGTCTGCCTGTACTGGGATGGTTGTACCGGGGTGGGTCTGACTGTACTGGGATGGGTGTACCAGGATAGGCCTGGCTCTGCTGGGGATGGACCTGGATTGTACTGGGGATGGGCCCAGCTGTACCAGGGGTGGTTGTACTGGAGGGAGCCCAGCTGTACTGGGAATGGGCCTGGCTGCACCAGGGGAAGGCCTGGCTTTACCGAGGATGGGCCTGGATTGTACTGGGGATGGCCCTGGCTGTACTGGGGAGGGCACTCAGGCTGTACTGGGATGATCTCGGCTGTACCACAGATGCACCTGGGCTGTACCAGAGATGGGCCTGGCTTGTACCTGCTGTACTGGGGACCTGGACAGGAACAGCTCCCCTGGGTCCTGCAGTGCCTCACCCCCCCCACAGCCCCTGCCCCAAAGGCTCAGACTCCCCCCCAGCCCTGGGTGGCCCCCACGCCCCCGCAGCACAACACGGAGCCTGCGCCGGGCACCGGGCGGGTTTATTGAGATCAGTGTCACAGAGCTGGGCACAGCTGGGCAGGTGACAGATGTTTTGTGGGTGACATGCTCGGCCAGGGCCACCACACCCACCCTGTCCCTGTCTCCTCGCTGGCACCATGGGAACAGGGAGCACCGGGGGGCTTTCCAGCATGGCAGCACCGGGATGAGGTGCAGCAGCTCCTGCCACCACTACCAGGGCTTGGAGGGGGTGCCAGGAGCCCGGGGAGGGGGGGCACCTATGGGGACTGTGAGGGGCTGAGGGGCTGCACCGTGTGGGCACAGCGGGGAATGCTACGGGCAGCTACGTCCCAAACCAGGGACGGCCAGGTGGGACCAGCAGCTTAACCCTCCTTCTCGGCTTCCTCCTTCTCATCTTCGTCGTCCTTCTCTCCCTTGAGCTTCTGGCGAGCAAATTCCTCGATGACAATGTCCTCCTCACTGGAAGGCAGAGCAGAGCATGGTGAGAACACAGGATGCACCAGAGTGAGGAGAGGAAATCCCTGCTGGCCCCCAGACCCTGCTCCTACTGGGGACAACACGGTGGTCACCCTGGCCTCCTCACCCCACAGGGAACACTCAGATCACTGTGAACCTGACCCCAGCACACAAACCCAGGCCCCATCACTGGCTCCACTGTGAGCCTGTGTGGCCCGAGGAGCTGGGCCTGCAACTTCTGGTGTTTTCCAAGGCAACATTTTGCATTGTCAAGGGGAAAAAAGGGAAGGAAAATAAATGAATGTGGTGACAAAGAGCTGAGCTACTTCCTTGAGAAAGGCAAATGGCAGGTGACAGTGAGGGAGAGCCACAAAGTGACAAGTGGGGGAGGAAAACAGAAAAAAAGAGTCAGCAAAAGTGATTCCAAAAGCTTGGGAATGTGAAATGACTTGGCAAATCCTACAGGAAGCCATGGTGGGGACGGGCCAAGAGATTTGCTCCGCTGGAAGTTTAAATATCCTTGCTGAGCTGGGAAAGGGACAGTGTGAAAGAGGTTGGTGTGACAGCCTGCAGTTGGAGCCTGGGTTTCCAGGCCCTAAATCCCAGTGCTCGTGTCCCATTGCAGGGTGTAACCAGACACAAAACCTTTGGGGTTTTACAAGCCAGGGCTGTGGCTGCCAGGAATGGGTTTGGCATGCTGTGGCTTCCCAGAGGGAAGCAGCCTCTGCTGTGGCTTCCGCTGGAATAAGGTGATGTGGTGGGAGGAGAAGAGGTCTCTGGTGCTGGGGAGCATTTAGGGGCACAGGGATGTGACTTCCAGCAGTTGAGGGATCTCAGTGTGGGGATCAAGGCCATGGGGACACTATGTCCAGGGGTGGCACTTGTGGCTGGAAGAGCATTGCCAGCTGCTTCTGACAGGGACAGATCTGTGTGGCTGATGTTTTAGAGGGAACATCTCTTTACCTTATCTTAGCTGTAGTCCAGTGATAAGCACAGCACAGGGAGAAAGAGATGGGGAGAGAGAGAGATGTGCAGGTTAGTACAGAAAAGACAGTCCAGCTAACAGCTCTCCTTAATGCCTGGGTGTTTTCGTGGAAAGAGGGATGTTGGGAAGGGTGCTTTGGGGAGAACTGCTCCCACACTGCTCCATAAAAGAGGGTGGGTGCAGCCCAGCTGGACAGCTGTGCCCATCCCACAGGAGAACTGCTCCCACCCTGCTCCAGGACACAGGGTGGGTGCAGCCCAACTGTGCCTGCCACAGCTGGGGCAGATCAGGGCCCTTTGCACAGGCTGTATCAGGGTTGTTTTCACTGGTTCCCCTCTGAACCAGAGCTGCCCCTTCCTCCCCGTGTTTTGGGAGCATCCCACACTCTACTTACACTCGTCAGGCTTGGGGTGCATGAGGATGACGGGCATCTCGACACCGACATCGCTGGAAGGAAAAGCACCTCTGTCAATGATCCCACCCAGAACCACACCATGCCCAGCCCCACAGGCAGCTTCCCCTTACCTGGAAGTGAGATCCCCCAGGATCCTGTGGCAGCAGGAGAGAAGGCACAGAAATCAGCCAAGGCAGAGGAGGGGAGGTGTTAGACTTTGTTTGATAATAAGGCAGAAGGTGATTGACAGTAGGGGTGATGGGGCCAGAGGGGTGGGAGTCAGAGAGCAGCCCACTGCCCCACAGACCAGGGGAGCAGGGCAGGGGCGAGGGGGCCCATGGTCTGAGTCCCCTCTCCATCTCGCTGGGGGTGCAAGATCCCCCAGCACAGCCTGAGGGGACAGTCCCTGATCCCCGTGCCCACAGAGCCTTACCCTCCTCGGGACACCATCAGGTTGACCTTCACTTTGTAGGACACCAGGATGCCCAGCACCTCCTTGTCCATGCCAGGCCTCAGGCTAGGAGGAAGGCAGAGAGGAGCAGTGAGGGGGCAGTGCTGCCCACAGGTCCCATCCACACCCCCCACAGCAGCTCCCAGGGCTGTATCCATGTCCCCTCTATGTGTGGGGTTTAGCAGGAGAGGACAACAGGAAAAGAGAGGGGAGGGCAGAGCACTTGGCTGAAGCCACAGTGCAGTTTCTGGAAGCTCCTTGAACTGCCTGAGCTGGGATTTACTTCCAAGACCCAGCTCTGCAGAGAGATCCAGCAGCTTTGGACAATGTTGGGACTGGGAGGCTGCACCTCTCCTACAGGATGGAGAGGTGGGTCTGTGTCACAAAATCCCTAAGTTTTCCAGCCAGGTGGGGTGGGCTCAGGCACAGGAGGTGTGGGGGACCCTCAGAAGGAGCCCAGAGCACCCCGAGCAGTGGGAAGCTGTAGGAGTGGGGAGCAGGGGGACCCCACCCAGCGCTCACATGGTGGTGGAGGCCAAGTTGGTGTCCTCGTGCTTGAGCTTCCCATCGAGAGCGAGGCCTCGCTTCTGGCGGTTGGCCGAGAGCAGGGGGGTCACGGAGTACGTTTTGGAGAAGGTGGAGTTGGCTGCCACAGTCTCACTGGAAGGAGTGGGAGAGGAGGGCTCAGAGCCAGCACCAGCCTGGTGGGTGTTCAGCATCACCCCAGTCACCTGTGCAGAGCCAGCCCCCCCTGCCCTCCCCATGCAGCTGCCAGGGCCTGTTTCCTCCTTTCATTCCCCCCCACAACCACTTCTTTTTTTCTCCCCCCCCAGCCTTTGCTCTGTCCCTCCTCGTTCTCAGGGGTGCAGAGGCTGTGGCTGCCCTCAGAGATGCAAAGTGAGGAGAGGAAGAAGCCAGGGGGCAGCTGTGCACCTTCCCCAGGGACCTTCCTGGCCACCACCAGCTTGTGCTGGGGCCACAGGGGCCACGGCCTTCCCTCTCCTCTGCTTCCTTTGCACCTGCTCTTCTAACCCTGATATTTTTGCTGCTCGGTGTAAAACTGCCTCCCACACCCCTTCTCCCCATCCCTCCCCCATCCTCCTCCTCCTTCTTTCTCTTCCTCCCTCTGGCTGAGATGCCACATCACCTCCAGCCCCTTTTTCCTTACTTTATCTCCTCGGTGCACACAGTCTTTGTGTATTTATCCAGGGAATAGAGAACCACATCTGTGATCTGATCCACTGAGGGGACACAAGAGGGAGCCGTGTTGGTGGCGTGGCAGAGGCACAGACACACTGTTCCCGTCTCTGACAGGGGATGTGGTGGGTGCCGGGATGTGCCCCTTGTGCCCCCTCTCACCTGAGATCTTAATTTTCTTCACCATCTTGTTGGTGGTGTTGTTGATGTTGACGGTCACATTGATGGGCTCTCCATGGTAGTAGATCTGCAGAGGGAAGAGGTTTGGTCACATGGCTACCCTGGTCCCCATTCCCGGGGTGGCACGAAGCAGGGGACAGCTCCCTACTGACCTCCTTATCCAGGGAAGCCTCGAGGTGCAGAGGCTTGTCTGACATCATGAACTGCCGGGTGGTCTCTGCCTTCGGGGCCGGCCCCGTCTTCGTGGGGGCGAACTGCACCTTGCGGATGATGAGGCGCGCGGAGTTCCTGCGGGATGGGAGGGCTCACCCCCAGTGTCCCACCGGGGGCACGTCCACACCACCTTCCAGGGGTCACAGAGACTCAACTGGGGGACATCACAGTGTCTCCAGCCAAAGGGTGCACATTGCAACCTGCCCTTAGGACGTGACATGGGACCACTGCCCCTGTTTTGGGCAGAATACCCCGCCCAGACAGGGAACAAGCTGACAGCAGGCCCTTGGCTTGGCCTCTACGCTGGTCACCCCAAAAAGATCCTGTGGTTCAGTTTTAGGGCCATGGGGCAGAAAAGGCATCCCTTGAAAATACCTTTTGTGAATTTTCTCCTCCAGATTTTCAGCACAAAATCCCTT